CTCAGTTTTTTAATCAGCATTATGCTTCTAATTCGGCCTCGTCCGGCGACCTCGTGTTTTGCTCTGACTGGACGCGCCCCCCTCTACCGCCGTTCTGTTTCGGCGCTGCGGACGTCCTCCCCCAGGACCCTGCGGCCGCTCTCAGGCTGGATCTGCCAAGCTCCGTGTATCGCCGCCAGCGCCTGATGCGAGCGCTGGGCGCCCTGCCACAGTCCCCGCTTCTTCCTGCTTCCCTCGCCCCCCCGCCTCCCTCCTCCTCCTCCTCCTCCTCTTCCTCCCGGCAGGGGCAGTTTCAAGGCGCTTTCAGCGTGGCAACCTGGAACGCCCAGGCTTTTTTTTGTGCAGACCAGCTCCGTTTTTTAGCCAAAGCAGCTCACCTCCAGAAGCTTCTGTCCCGGGCCGACGCCGTCCTGTTGACAGAGACGCATGGCACGGACGGGGGCAACAAGGCCTGGCGACCTCCCATCGGATCATCGGCCTGGTGGTCTGCAGGGCCAAGCAATGGTCGTGCCGGAGTGGGCATCGTGATCAACGACACCTTCCTGAAGAATTTCGAGCGGGCACCTCGGTGGAAGGTCGTATGGCCTGGCCGCGCTGCAGTCTTATCGCTCCGGGGCTCTCCCGGAGATTTGGATTTGGTGGTTTCTTACTTTCCCACCGGGAGTGTGATCTCGGAGCTGGATCTGGTGGGCGTGCACGCATCTGCGCTGGCTAGCTGCACAACTTTTCCTCGCCTTCGGGAGCATCTTCGCGCTCGTCTTGCTGCGGCCCTCAGACCACAGGAGGAGACCCTCACAGTGGTAGGGGGGGACTTCAACTGGGCATCCACGACGGAGGACCGGCGCAGCACGCAGTCCATGGAACCCTCTGGCGCTCGAGATGGCGCTGAGGAGAGGCACTTTGCTCAAACTCTCTGTCGACCGCTCGGCTTATCCGAGCTTTTTCAGCCGGAGATGACCCACCAGTCCTCGAGCGCTTCTTCACGATTGGACCGGCTGTACTTCAATCAACACGTTGCGGAACAGATCGACCGGGAGTTACAGGTCACCGCCCTGGAATGGTGTCCTTCGTTGTCTGATCATCGCCCTGTTCTTGCTGCTCGCCGTCTGCCTCAACGTTGGGACGATTCTCAGCGACCTATTTCGCAGTCAACTTTCTCCCATCCTGATTTCCCTCGTCGCGTGCAGCTGGCTTACCAGGAACTTCTCCGACAACAGCCTGACGCCCCTGCGATTCTACGTCTTCGGCTTTTGAAGCAGGCTGTGCGGGAGGTGTCGGACAACTTCGGGGCACATGTGGGTGAGTACGCCAAGGCGGACAGCTTTGCCGACAAATTGGGGGTGGTCATGCGGTGTTTGCGGGCCATCGAGCAAGGAAACCTCGGGGCAATTTCTCAATGTCTTCAGCGTTACCCAACAATCGGCCAGATGGTCGACAACCCCTACGATTTGCAAGGAAACTTATCTCGCCGCCTGAGGTCGTTGAAAGACCACGCCGCTGAACTCGCCAGGGATGTCGCCATGGAGCAGCTTCAGCAGGCCCAGGAAGAGGCCCAGCGGGGAGACCAGCTGGTGGCCCGGCGCCGCCGACAGCGAGGTTCCCGACTCCTCTTCAAATTGGCTCCAGGTCGTACTGCTTCGATCGGCGCCGTGGTGGGGAGAAACGGTCAGTTCCTCACGAATGGTTGCGATATGGCGGCCGAGCTCGGCCGCCATTGGGCGGGCGTGTTCAAGGCTAGGGGGGTTGACGAAGCGCGCTTGGAAACTTGGCTCCAGGAAGATGCCGACCACCGTTCTGCGCATGGCCCTCGCCACGATGACTTCGGGCACGTGCGGCTGCGCCGGAAGCACATCGCCCGGGCGTTGAAGATGACCAACAACTCGGCTCCGGGGCCCGATGGGATCCCCTACGGGGCGTGGCGGGCTTTGGGAAGTTCAGCTGTCGATGTGCTTTACGCGGCCTTCCAGGACCTGGTAAGGGATGATGGCCCCCAGGCGCTTCGAGAGCATTATGCAGACTTCAACGAGAGCTTGCTTTTCTTCCTCCCGAAAAAAGCCGCGGGCGCCACCGAGCATGGAGTCCCCGCCTTCGCTGCCAGCGGCGCGCGGCCACTCAACGTCACTAATTGTGACAACCGCCTCTTCGCAAGTGCAGTGCGTCTAGTGCTGGAGCCGATGGTGGATGGGAAGATCGTCGAGGACCAGCGGGGCTTCTTACCGGGCCGGTCCATGCTCGCTAATGTCCTGGACATCGACGAGGCCATGGTCCAAGAGGGGGCGCGCGGAGAAGCCGGGGTGGCTCTCTTCTACGACTTTGCGGCCGCGTTCCCCTCCATCGAGCACGCGTTCTTCCTGCGCTTCTTCGCGAAGCTGGGCTGGCCCCCTTGGCTCCTCAACGCAATTGCGATCCTCTACATGGACAATGTGTGCGTGATCCAGCTGCAGGGGGTTCGCTATCCTGGATTCGAGATCAGCCGGGGTATCAGACAAGGCTGTCCCCTGTCACCGCTGCTCTTCGCGGTGGCTACAGATCTGCTCCTACGCCGGGCGCGTCGATCGATTGCTGCCTCCTGCTCCCGGGCCTGGGCTGACGACTTGGCCATGGTGCTGCGGGAGGGCATGACGAGCCTGAACCAGTTGCAGTCGTTCTTCCTGGACTTCGAGGCGGTCTCCGGTCTGGCCCTCAACATCGAGAAAACCGTTCTGGTACCTTTGTTTCGCTGCGAACACGATGCTCTGCGGGTTCGAGTTGCTGCGTTGGCCCCGTGCTGGGCTGGCATTCAGATTGCGAGTTCGGCCAAGTACCTCGGCTTCTTCGTCGGCCCCGGCCGCGAGGAGAAATCTTGGGACGCCCCCTTGGCCAAGTACCTGGGCAGGGCGAGGCTCTGGGGGCGGCTGGGTTTGGGCCTCGCTCTCACCCTGCAGGCGTACCAGGTCTACATCGCGTCGGTCCTTCTCTTCGTGGGGCAGCTGGAGGAGCTCCCGTCGCGGTGGCCGCAGGTGGAGCTCCAGGCCTGCCAGGCCCTCCTTCCGGGCCCCCGCGGGTGGATGTCGCCGAACTGCTTAAAAGATCTGCGGAGCCTGCACATGCCGACGGCGCTGCTCGACGTCGCCAGCACGACGCAGGCGGCCAAGCTGAGGGTGGTGACGTTCGAGAACGCTCGTCACGGAGGTCTTCGTGTGGCGGGGCGAGTGGCCGCACTACGCGCCCAGATGCCCGACGGGGTATCCGATGCACTCTCGATCGGGCACCTGGGCTGGCAGCAACAGTGGGCGCGGCGGAGCTTTCTGGAGAATTTGGGCACAGCCGCCGCCGTCTTGGAGCGCCGAAACGGCACCGTGTCGGAAGCAGCGAGGGCCCTGCCAAAGAGGGCTGGGTGGCAAGGCCGGATTGCCCGGCTGCTCCGGGCAACTCCCGTGCAGGCGGGCTTCATCCATATCTCAAGGAGGCTCCAGAGGTGGCCACTCCAGACCCTCCCTGGCCACAGAGGTGAGCGAGCCATGAGGGTCCTCAGAGTTTTGGGCAAGAAGGCTGCCCCGAAAGTCGGCGCAGCGTACTTACGCACCATCTGCAACGGGTGGTGCACACGGCGCAGGTTTCAGACGAATGGTTTTTGCACGTTCGGGTGCGGCCGCTACGAGGATAGCATCGAACATTTTGCTCGTTGCACGGCTGTGCGGCAACTCTGCCGCGCGCACCTTGCTTGTCTGCCGCCTCCAGTGGAAGGGGCGCTTGATTTTTTCCTTTGCATGCGATCCAGCACAGAGTTTGTTTCTGAGGGGTGGAGCTCTTCGGTCCTCCAGCAGTGTCTCTGCCTTTACTCCTTGTACCGCCTTCACAATGGCATTCGGCACGGGCATTTCGAGCCTTCAGAGTATCGAGGGGCCTTTGCGCAGTTTCTTCGGGATGGGGCCCGTTGAACTGCCCGTTTCCTCTGTTTTTCTGCCCTTTCCCTTTCCTCTTCCTCCTCCTCCCCCTCCTCCTGCCTGTTCCCCGCCTCTGCCCGGAGGGAGGCCGGGACCTCCCGGGGCTCCCAAGTGGCCCCCTGCGCTCGAGGGAGGTAAAACGTCGCTGCATGGACTGTCGGAGGTTTGCTTGGTTTTCTTGGGTCGGCGGTGGTCCCCCTTGGCGGCGCCTCCTGCGCCGCCCCTGGCGCGCTCCGCGCGCCAGGGGAGGGGGCCAGCGCCGATCCGGGTAATCCGCGCGGACCTCCGAAAGTGTATGTTTTGGTTGTTTTTGCTTCCTCGGTGCGGGGGCCTCTTCGGCTGTCCTGGGGGCCGGCGGGTTCTCTGCACGGAGGCTAAGCGACGGCAGCGTTGGTATCGACGCTCGTCGTGGTCGGCCTCCCATCTGTTTGAGGATCCCATGCGTGGCATCCCTTTTTTGTATATGATGACAATTCCTATCGTGCCTCGCTGTTCCGGCACTGGCTCGCCGGCGACCGCCGCCCCGCGAGAACACACAGTACGTGTGGATACGTATTGATTGTGAAAGTGTATATTTTCTTCTCCTCCTTTCCTCCCTTCCTTCCCTCCTTCCCCCCTTCGCTCTTCCGTTCCAGGTTCGGCGAGAGAGCTGTAGGGTAAGCCACAGCCGCCGCCTGATTTCGCTCCAGAGGCTGCCGCGCACGTTGAGAGTGCTCCCCGAGCCCGGGGCCATTGCACACTTTCGTGCCTCGATTCTGGTCGTTCCGGCCTATCCTCGTTTTGGCCTCCTCCTCCTCCTCCTCCTGTTTTCCTCCTTCGCCCCCTCCTCCTCGCCGATAGGGGTGACGTTAACCCGGCCGGCTACTTTAAGTCACGGTCGCAGTCCAAGCCCTAGATGCAATGGGTGCCGTGATAGCCCCCATGAGGGGCAGCGGATCTGATGTTGGACGGGCATCGTGTGTTTTGGTTCCGCTGTCGAGTTCATTTGCGGGAAAAAAAAAAAAACGCTGGAGGTTTCCGGGAGCCTTCGGGGCCCGGGGACAGCGGGGGACCGGGAGGGCCAGGGGTCGGCAGGTCTTGCTGCAGTCTAAGCTGGTCATCACCGCGCTGATGGTGTGGTACATGAAGGGCGAGAAGCAGGCTCCTCAACGACACGTATCAGAGGAGGAATGGCACCCAGACCGCTACCCTTGCCTCGTTTCCGCCGTTTTGGCCTCCTTGGGGTCCCTCGTCGCCACCCCTGGATTCGCTTCGAAATTCTGGTCAGACCGCACCCCGAGAGAGGTCCAGGGAGTAGCGGTATCGGTACGTGCCCCGCAGCGGATAAGAGTAAGGGCGCAGTGGGGACGCCGACAGTCTGCGAGACTCTGGAGAAGACCGCAGGCGCCAACATTTCACACACTATACAACGAGCCCGGCACAGCCGCCGATTTTCTTGTCAAAACCAATGTGGGTAGGTCGCGGGTGGGTCGCAGATGGGTCGCAAATGGGTCGCGGGTGGGTCGCTGTTGGGTCGCGGGTGGGTCACGGGTGGGTCGCGGGTGGGTCGCGGGGTGGGTCGCGGGTGGGTCGCGGGGTGGGTGGCGGATGGGTCGCGGGTGGATCGCGGGTGGGTCGCGGGGTGGGTCGCGGGGTGGGTCGCGGGTTGGGTCGCGGGTGGGTCGCGGGGTGGGTCGCGGGGTGTGTCGCGGGCCGGGTGGGTCGCGGGGTGGGTCGCGGGTGGAACGACGACAAGAAACAACGAACAACAACGACCAACAACGAACAACAACGAACAACAACGAACAACAACAGCAGCAACAACAACAACGACAACAACAACAACACCAACAGCAACAGCAGCAGCAGCAGCAGCAACAACAGCAGCAGCAGCAACAACAACAACGCAACAACGCAACAAGCAGAATCCTCACCACGGATCACGCACCCAGGGACAATGAATGACCGTTCGGCCCCCTCAGGCTGACTTTTCGGATGTGCTCTTCGATTGCACGTAAGAGTGACCCTTCGCTGGAGTGGACTTTGGTGCGGGACCATTCGGGTCTCCCGATCACTGAATGCGATGTGATCTTTGCGGCTTGCGCGCTTGGGTTTGCCCCGCCCCCCGGCGCCCCCCTCATGCCGCACACCGTAGGTCGTTCTTGCCTAGGGTCACTCTTACGTGGAGCCGAGCTCCCGCCTGAGGCATGCTCGCATCGTGAAAACAAATCACGATGGGAGGTTGTTGGTCCTCGCCGGGCCCCCGAGACCGTCGGAAAAACGATGTGGGATGAAGCGCTAGTCTTGTCAAGATGCGGCTCCTGATTCAGTTATAGCATGGGAACAATAGTCGTCGTCCCTGCGTTTGTGCTTGTGGTCTCTGTGGTTGTGGAGGCCCTCTCCTGCCTCCTGAATCATGAGTCCTCCTCCCCCCCTACCTTCCTCCTCTTCCTCCACCTCCTCCTCCTCCTCCTCTTCCTCCCCCTCTCTCTCCCCCTCCTCCTCCTACTCCTCCTCCTCCTCCTCCTCCTCCTCCTCCTCCTTCTCCTCCTCCTCCTACTCCTCCTCCTCCTCCTCCTCCTCCTCCCTCTTCTCCTCCCCCTCCTCATCCTTCTCATACCTTCCTCCTTCTCCTCCTACCTTCCTTTTTCTCCTCATCATCCTGTCTCGTTATCCTCCTTCTCGTCCCCCTCCTTCCCCGAAGGCCCATCGTCTTGAGCGACAATCTAGGCGAAGGCTGCTTGTCGTGTTCGGCCTCTGGGGGACCCCGTCGTGCCCCTGGACCGTCATCTAACAAGGTCTGATGACCTTGAAGTCTACGAACCACCCCCCTTCTAGGGGGGTATTCATACCAGCTTCTGGGAGAAACATTCAGCAGTGCACTCTGTATGCGCACCCTGCCGACATGGAGAGCAGGGGAATAGGGTGATACATGTTTCGCGTTCGCTCTTGGGACGACGGATACTATTCTAGTTCGCTTGGGGTTGGCGGAGTAGCACAAGCTAATCGTTTGCATGTGTGTTATTCTCCTGTTTCTCTCGCACGTCGGCTAGTCCCGCACGCAGGAGGAAGGGGAGGAGGAGGAGGAGAAGGAGGAGGAGGAAACCGAGGATGAGCAGGAGGAGGAGGAGGAGGTGGAGGAGGGGAAGGAGGAGGAGTTGGAGGAGGAGGAGGAGGAGGAGGAGGAGGAGTTGGAGAGGAGGAGGAGGAGGAGGAGGAGGAGGAGGAGGAGGAGGAGGACGACGACGAGGAGGAGGAGGGGGTGCGCTCCCCGCCTTCTGCCCCCCCCTCCCCCCCCCCTCTGCCCGCCGCCTCGCGAGAGCGGCCAGGCCCCCCTGCAGTGGAACATCCTCGTGCTGATCATGCTGTCCATGTGCTGCTACATGATGGGCGGCAGCAGCGACTCCGGCGGGCGCCTTGCTCTGGGGTGTGGTGGGCCGCGACATTTGCTCTGAGGCCGCCCAGACGTTTTCGGGTTGCTTCTGGACAGAGGGCCTCGGGGATCGGTGATCGAGGCGTTTGTGCGTTTTTTGCGAGTGTTGCGCTCCCGGGAGGCTTCTCGTTGCCCTGGCTAGAACCGCCCCGAAGTTCTGCCCGAAACGCGTCCCAGGAACTGCAGAGGGAGGGGAAGACGGGGGAGCAGGAACAGTACGGGGATGAGGACGCGGAGGAGGAGGAGGAGGAGGAGGAGGAGGAGCAGGAGGAGGAGCAGGAGGAGGAAGGAGGAGCAGCAGGAGGAGCAGGAGAAGGAGGAGGAGGAGCAGGAGGAAGGAGGAGGAGGTGGAGGTGGAGGTGGAGGAGGAGGAGGAGGAGGACAGGGGCGATGAGAGCGATACGGAGGAGGAGGATAGTGAGGAGGAGGAGGAGGAGGAGGAGGCGGAGGAGGAGGAAGACGGGGCGGGAGGAGGAGGAGGAGGAGGCGGACAGGGGCGATGATAACGATGAGAAGGAAGAGGAGGAGGAGGAGGAGGAGGAGGAGGAGGAGGAGAAAAGGAAGAGGAGGAGGAGAAGAAAGAGGAGGATGAGGAGGAGGAAGATTGGGAGGATGAGGAGGACGGGGAGGAAGAGGAGGACGAGGAGAACGAGGAAGACGAGGAGGGCGAGCATGAGGAGGAGGAGGAGGAGGAGGAGGAGGAGGACGAGGACGAGGACGAAGATGAGGGCGAAGATGAGGAGGTGGAGGAGGAGCACGAGGAGGAGGTCGCCCTGGCTGCCTTATCTGGGCCTGTCTGGGGCCCCCTTCCTGCGCGGGCAGGGGTCGCCGTGCCCAGGCTCGTCCCTGGGGCCCCGCAGCACCTCTTTTCTTCGGGTGGCGCCGTGGGGGGGCGCCTCCTCCGCGAGATTGAAGATCGCGGAGGAGGGAGGCTCTCGACTACACGTAAGAGTGGCCCTTCGCCAGAGTGACCTTTGGTGCGGGCTCATCGGGGTCCCCCCGATCGCTGAGCGCGATGCGAGAGCGGTTGCTTTCGCGCTTGGCTCTGGCCACCCTGCGCCCCCTCAGTCCGCGCACCAAGCGGTCCCTCTTGCCTAGGGGCGCTCCTGCGTGTGGCCGAGGGTCGAGGATCGAGGAGGGTCGAGGTTGTGGCAGCAGTGCCAAGGGCCACCCCAGTTGGGGGGGGAGGCACTGGCTTCTCCTGGAGCCGGGAGTCGAGGATCGGGGAGGCGGGGGGATCACGGATCGGGGAGGTTCGGGGTGTTTTTGGTCAAGCAGTGGCGAAGCGTCCTGGCGTGCCTGAAGGCCTATACCAAACAGTGTTCTAAGACCCCTTTGTAGCTTCCACGAAATGTTCTTAGAACATTTCTGGCTGAGACTGTATTGTTTCAACACATCGGGGTCATGTTCTACGAACAATGGTTTTTGTTATTCGAAAGTGTTTTGGGCTCCGAGAACATGTCGTGGTAGGCCTATAGGAGTGCTAGGTCGGTCGGTCCCTGCTCAATTGGGGGGTCCAGGGGGGGGGCCCTATTCTCGACGAGGTGGCGAACCCCCTCAAGGTGACCCCCCCTGGCCCTTGGCGTTGCGTGGCCCCTCTCTGCAGGGTCCATTCCGATTCGATTCGACATCGATTTCGGCCAGCTCGATCCTTTCAACGTTCCGACGATCCGTTGCGGCCCGAATTTCGCATGGCCTTGTTGTGCATTCTGGTGCAACCGATCCGGTTCGAGTTCGACTCCGTGCCGATGCAGCTTGATCCGACGCACATTCCGATCCGCCCGATTCGATGCTGATTGATCTTGCCCTGTTTTCTTTCCCCTCCTTCGCTCACCCCTTCTTCTCCTCTCCCGCCTGCCCACCCATCCCCTCTACTGCTGCTCATCCTGACCCTCGCGACTCTTCACAATCTTCCTGCTCCTCGTGCTTCTATGGGTCCTCCTCCATCCCTTTCCTCCTCCTCTTCCTCCTCCTCCTCATCCTCCTCTTCCTCCTCCATGTGTCCTCCCTCCCCCCCCCTGGGTCCCGTTTCCCCTTCTCCCCCCCTCTTTTCGCCTCCATTCTGCCTCCTCTCTTCCCTCCCCCCCTCTTCCGCCCCCCCTCGAGGGTGGAGATGGCGGAGTGCGGAGGAGCAAGGAGGGATGAGAAGGGAGGAGGGGTCAGGAGGCAGGAGGGAGGAGGCAGGGGGCGGGACGAGGGAGGAGGGAGGAGGAAGGAGGAGGAGGAGGAGGAGGAGGAGGTGGTGGATTAGGAGAAGAAGGAGGAGGAGGAGGAGGGCGAGGAGGAATAGTAAGAGGAGGAGGAGGAGGAGGTGGTGGAGGAGGAGGAGAAGGAGGACGAATAATGGCAGTGAGAATCACGAAGTGTGATGATGAGGAGGATAAGGAGGAGGAGGAGAAGGAGGAGGAAGAGGCAGGGGGAGGAAGCTGTGCAGCATGCCCGGCCAAGCTGGGCGCGCCCGGTGGCGCGGCTGGGCAGGCGGCGACGGCGGCATCCCTATCATGGGCGTCGTCAACGTGCTGCTGAAGGCCGGCCATGCCTCCCGAGCGGAGGATCGGGGCTCAAGAGACGGGGGTCAATGCAAACGGGGGGCAGGAGGAGGAGGAGGAGGAGGAGGAGGAGGAGGAGGAGGAGGAGGAGGGAGGAGGAGGAGGGAGGAGAGGAGAGGAGGAGGAGGAGGAGGAGGAGGAGGAGGAGCAGCAGGAGCAGCAGCAGCAGCAGGAGGAGGAGGAGGAGGAGGAGGAAGAGGAGGAGGAGGATGAGGAGGATGAGGAGGAGGAGCGGGGCGAAGCCGTGTGTGGGTGGTGAAGCGGCTCTACTCCATGCTCTCGCTGATCCTGTTGATCAGAGTGCGTGTGTTTTGTTTCGACATCTCTTGGTGCCCGCAGGAGGAGGAGGACGACGAGGAGGAGGAGGACGAGGACGAGGACGAGGACAAGGGCGAGGACGAGGACGAGGACGAGGGAGGGGGAGGGAGGAGGAGGGATTCCGAGTTCCTGGTGATGCAAGTTTTTTCAGAAGGGGCGTGTTCCCTGGGCTTCGATCTCTGGGGCCAGCACAGATCGATCCAGCTCGAAAGATGCTGTAGTGAATTTTCGCGATGTTGCACTTGCTCGCAACATCGGATCTCAGGGGTGGAATGAGAGGGGAGGAACGAGGAGGAGTGGGGGAGGGAGGAGGAGGGGGAAGGGGCATCAGCGATGCTGCAGTACACCATCCCGCCCCCAGCTCCCTCCTTGTATCTGCGCGCCCAGAATGATGACAGACAACATTGGCACGATGCCCAACAGCAGTGCCTGTTCATTTGGAACAAGATTCGCTGTCCATCGGGGCCCATCGGACATCATGCCTCGGCATGCTGACACCAGTTCTTGCCCATTTGACGGCACCCAGTGTCCGAATAAGATGAACAAGTAACGCGGTCACAGGTTTAGGACATATCGCAAGAAGGGTCCGAAGGCCAACAGCTCTTGTTCCGCATGAGCAGTCGCTGATGTGGGGCATCGTACCCGTGCTTTCCGTTTTCATTTCTGGGCTTGCAGAAGGGAGGGGGACGGAGGAGGAGGAGGAGGAAAAGGAGGGAAAGGAGAAGGAAGGGGAGGAGGAGGAGAAAAAGGGGGAGGAGGAAGAGGGGGAGGAGGAGGTGGAGACGGGAGCAGGGGCATCAGCAACGCTGCAAGACACCATCCCGTCCACAGCCCTCTCGTCTGAAGACCCTACGGGCCTCGCTTTTTTCACAACAGAGAAGCCCCCTCCGCCCTTGAAAGACCAGCACCCTCCGTGGGATGCTGGCGCGAGAGCCCCGCTTAGGAGGTGGAGCTGCGTTGCATCTTATCAGCGCGTAGCGAGGAATGTGAGAAGGGACGTGATCATACAGCTCAACGAGGTGTCCATCGATCGGGAAACAAACAGTGACATATACATAAAAAAGCTCTGAGGTCCGCACGGATTTTGCGGATTGGCGCTGGAGCCCCTTTGCGCGCTCCGCGCGCCAGGGAGGGGGGGTCCAGCGCCGATCCGAGAAATTCGCGCGGACCTCCGAGTTGTTATGTCTCTATCATTGTTCGTTCCCCTACGAAAGGGATGTGATCATACAGCTAAACGAGGTGTCCACCGAGATTCCCGTGTTGAAAGAGGACGGCCTCCCTCCGGCTCAGTGCTTGCACATGAGCTTCAAGGAAGTCTCCAGCGAGAGATCCGCCGTGAACAGGAACCGCCCATCTCCCGTGCAGCTTCCGTGTGTGTTGAAGCTTCTGATCCGAATGACGCTTAGGGGGTCTCAAGCCAGAGCCCCACATTTTACCAGCCTGGAACATATCCCTATCCCTATGCTGGGCATCTCCTCATCACGATGCCAATCTCAGGGATCCCTTTATTTTTTGAGGGCGAATCCCTAAGATTGTCATCGCCTTTTGGCGTGCCAATCTTAGGGATAGGGATACGTTCGAGGCTGGCAAACACTGAGAAGACGTCGCGGGGCGACGAGGAAGCCGTCCACGGGTGGAGGAGCGCCCGGCAAGAGCTTCCCTTGCGAGCCTTCCGTGACCGGGGCAGGGCTGCGAGGCTCGGGCTGTGCTTCCCGCCCCGCCGAGCCCTTGCCATCGCTCGGACGTGTGCATTTTGCCTTCGGCGAGGACCACTGAGGAGCATCCTTGATCATTTGGCGAAAAAGCCACGCACGAAACCGAAAAAAACACAGGAAATGGACGTCCGAGCGATGGCCAGATCCCCGCACCTCGGCGACCTCGTCGGAGTGGACAACCGGCGGGTCCGCCCTGAGGCCGCTGGCGTCGCAGTGCAGCCTCAGCCACACGGGCGCGCCACCCACGGGGGGTCGGCCCAGGCTGGCCGCGGTCGCTGCCTGCAGCCCTGCCAGCAGCATACTTTTGAGGCGGCATGTGCTCGTGGCCTCCCAGGGCGAAGAGTCCACGACGAGAATGCACATTTGGGCGTGAAGAAGGCTTGAAAAGAAGCACGAATCTTCCGCTTGGAGAATCTTGAAAATAATGCGCCTTTCTGCGCAAGAGAAGCTCGAACAAGAATTCGAAGCTTGAAGATACTGCGCTCCTGCTGCCTGCAGCGCCTGCGCAAGCCAGGGCCCAGCCTCCAGGGCTGCAGCCCTCCTCGCTCCGCCGGCGGCGCGTTCAGTACCGAGGCACCTCGCTCTGCCGACCCGCGCCGTCAGCGGCAGCGGCAGCGCATCATCACAGAGGGCAGCGCTCAGCGCGGTGGCACTCGCCAAGACAGCTGTACCTGTGCATGGCCTCTGATCGGTCGAGCATCCGGCAGTCCTCCACGAAGCTTGTCACGCTGGCCCCCCAGATGGCGCGCCACGATGCCGCGAGGGCCGCAGGCCTGAAGGGTGGCATGGTCCACGACACTGCGGCAGCACACCAAGAGGGCGCTCGACCGTGGCATTCGAGCATTGGCGTAAGCAGGGTCAGTGTCGCGTTATGCCGGCACTGTGGCTCCGGAGCAGCCCGCACTGCAGCCACCGTAGCGCAGGCATTGGAAGCTTGCGTGGGTGGCCAAGAGGCCACGCAGCAGCACGCTCGGGAAGTTGTGGCGCACCGCTGCTGCACGCAACGCTGGGTGGTTTCTCGAAGTCGTAGAGCTTCTGGAGGTCCACCATCGCCGTGCCTGTTTTGACGCCGACCTCCCCGCTGAAGGCATCCAGGACGTGGCACCAGCCTGCCTTCTCACACGTCCTGCTGGATGCGCCTCGCCAGAAGAACCTTTACCTGCGTTTTCCCCCGTTGCTTGCAAAGGGGCTGGCGCAGCTTGCTTCATATCCGAGGGGGTCGAGCTACTGTCAGAAACTTAACTTTGCGTTAGCGCCACGCTCCGCCAGTTCTAGCCTACCACGCTTCGGCGCGACGCGCTATCCACGTCCCCGTTCCCAAGCCTGTTCCCAGCCTGCCGCCCCGCGGAGCGCAGCGACACTCCTAACCGCTTGCAAGGCATAGCGTGTCGCTGGTGCCGCCGTCGCGACGCGCTAAGCAAAAGCTCCCGACAGTGTGTTCGTGCGGAGTTGCCTCGTGGCCACGAGCGCCGCCCCGAGACTGTGCAGGGCGTGGGTCACCTGAAATCTGCCGAGGGCGTGTTTTAGCGCTTTCAGCTCGGCGTCTTGGACATCATTTGTTTAGCGGTTTCGGGTCAACAGCGTTGTTTTCTAGCGTTGTCAGATTATGTTTTAGCGTTGTCAGGTCCGTGGGTTGCGTGTTTCCTTCTCCTTGCACATCGCTATCGTCTTCTTCATGCAAGTTTGCTTTTCTGTGGCCGTCGCTGGTGGCTCGTCGCGGAAGCCCGCCCTCCTCTGCTGCCACCCCCTTTCCAGTGTTAGATCGGTGTCAGAGCGTTGTTTGTTGCGTTTTGGGTCTCCGCGCGGGAGCCGGTTTTTGCCCCCCCCCCCCCCCCCCCCCCCCCCCCACCCCCCCCCCACCCCCCCCCCCCCACCCCCCTCCCCCGTGTACGCAGCTCATGGATCAAGGCAGGTGCGCCGACCTGGGGGATGGAAGGGGGGGTGGAGAGGGCGAACGGTGGCAGGGCGGGGAACGCGGGAGCCAAGCTGGCATAGAAGGCAAGGAGGAGCCTTCGACGATAATTCAAAACTAACCGCAACAAAACGCTGTACCACAGCGACGAACCTGAAAACGCCAAAACAACTACCCTAAAACGCAAAAAACACCGCAGCGTTTTTTGAGCGTCTTCAGCCTGTCGAGAGCCCAAACTAGGAAACGCAAAAGAAACGCCCAGGGCGTTTTTAGGTGAACCCGGGTGCAGGGTGCCGATGAAGCGGTTCTGCGCCTCCACGCTCAATTGCAAAATGAGCTCGGGGTGGACACTGTCCAACCCCAAGCCTGCTGAGTCTTTCTAGCTCTGGCGTGCTCTGTGGAGAGCGTCCAGGCTGATCTGCGGCAGCAGATCCTCTCCGACGTCCCAGCCCATGAGCGCGTCGAAGCCGCCCTTCCGTACGCCCTCGGGGGCGCCCCATTATTTCAGCATGAGTTCCAACGTGGCCAGGCGATCCTTTCGAAAGGCAGGCTCCTCGACCTTACCATCGGTCTCGCTGATGCCGTCCATCTGCCCGACCTGCTGCTTGGCGCTGCGGTGCGCGCGCTGGCCTCCTCCCTCGAGCGCTCTTGCAGCCTGAGCCTTCCACGGGTCCAGCTGCTCCAGCAGCTCCCGGCCATAGCGGCAGAGATACAAGGCTGGCATGAGATATTGTTTTATCATTTGGCGCGTAACGGTCGTTACCCCGTCCACCCCTCCCCCCCGGAGTACAGTAAACATCGTATGTAGGCGCGGGGGGGGGCCTGGACCCCCCACATGTTGGTGCTCGAGCGCGCACTAGGGGGATCGCAGCGTCATTGGAGAACACCACAGAACATCGCCATGGCGTTCCTCTTCTGGGCTGTGGCCCGCCAGACGAGTCAGCGAGCCATGAGGTGAGGCAGTCGCCTCCGGCCCTCCCCCTCGACGACCACGGTGAGGGCTGCCTCGATGCCCCTCGGCCCCCGCGCACGGCCCGAGCACCTCCCGGCATCGGCTGGCTCGCTGCCCCGTGCACGGGGGCGGTGGCTCTCGCCGTGCTCGGGCCCCTCGGCCGTGCACGTGCCGCGCGACCGGCTCAATGGCTTCCTGCGCGCCCCGGCTCCAGTGCAGCTGGAGCCCGCACGGGGCACGCCCCGTCGGCGCCAGGGCAAAGCGATCTAGCCGCATCCGCGTGTGCACCGCCGCCGCCGCTGACAGGCCCGTCATCCTGCAGGAGTCGGAGGGGGAAGGAGGTACCCATACCGCCAATTGGCCTTCCCTCGTTTGCGCCTCGCTTTTTGGGGCCTCCTGGGAGGCCCTCGTCGCCACCGCTGGGTTCGCCTCGGCATTCTGGTCAGAACGCGCCCCGGGAGAGGTCTGGCGAGCAGCGGTATCGTTACCTTTTGGACGCCCCGTTCAACTTCATGAGACCTCACACATGAGGGCGGAGAGGTGTTGTGCTCAGCGGCTGCGCCAGACCCAGACCTGCACACGGCTCGCCAGCGCCCTCGCGACAACCAAGAAGTCATCAGTCGTGTGTTTCTTGGCCTCGCCCTCTCCATCTCCAAGAGCTCCCCCGCGCACCCCTCCTTCGTCAGCTCCTGCTCTTTCTCCTGCTGCATGCGCAGCCATCCAGGCAATGTGCTCGCCTGGCTTCTGGGCCCGCAGGCCTGGGAATCGGGGGCGACGACAACTCTTCACACCTCCTGTAGCCAGCAGCTTTCCTCGAGTTCGTCGGGCGTGCAGTTGAGATCGCCCGGCATTGCCCAAGTGCTATCCTCCTGCAGGACGTTCACGGCGAGCTGCTTCAACAACAGGGCGTTGTTCCCTCCGGCACCCTCGTTCCGGGATGTCCGTTTTCGGATGTATTCGGATGTTGCGGAGGTGAAGTATTTCACCGAACGTGATCAGTTCATAGAACCGACAATGGAAAAACAATATCTAAAAAGGAGCCGTCAAATCAAATAATCTACACAATAGAGTCGACATCAGAAGTCTCAGCGTAATGTCCAGCCGACAAATCTTCAACCAACGAACAAACGCTTAAAATAACCGATCGACAAACAACAGTCGCACTGAAAATGCAGTCGCCATGATTCACCAAGCGCGTTCTGCTACTCGCAAAGTGTCTACTCACAACCGTCTGACCAACAAGAACACGTGTGTGTGTGTTTCGAAGTAAGGTATCGTAAATCCCCCGCGGCGGATCTAGGCCACTTGCGAGTAATTACTTTGCGAGTAGTGGAGCGCGCTTGTCTAAGGAAAAAACAACTCTCTCCCAACAAGAATTGACCCGCCAAGAACGGATCGCAACAACACGGTCGCCAGAAACGGTTCTTTGGGGGCGACAGTGAGCCCGCGAGGCTCGATGCCGGCCCTGCGAGCCCATGGGTGATTGAATTGTGCACAGCGCGAGGTTGAGCTCCGCGCGGGCAGCAGCTTCGTGCTGTCTCCTCCGGTTCTGAGCCCTTTTCTTGGGTTGGCGCCCCCACCCGCCATCTCCTCCTCCTCCTCCTCCTCCTCCTCCTCCTCCTCCTCCTCTTCCTCCTCCTCCTCCTCCTCCTCCTCCTCCTCCCCCTTCTCATCATCATCGTCATCATCATCACCATCATCATCATCCTCCGCGTCGTCGTCGTCATCATCATCATGCTGCGTGGCCTGCTGGGCGCATACTTCAGGACATTCATGTCCGCCATCCCTCGTCAAGTGATCGTCCCATCCTCCCTCCCCCGTCCTGATCCGTCCTCCCACCCTGTTTCCGCCTCACCCCCCCTCTCTGCCCCTTCGCGGCCCCCCAGACCCTGCTTTACCCTCATCACCCCCCCCCTATCTTCCTCCCGCTTCCTCCTCGCCATCCTTTTCCTTCCTCCCTCCTTCCTCAAGCCCCTCCTTCCCAAGCCCCCCCCCCCGCTCTCCCCAAGCCCCCCACCCCACCCTCTCCTGTCCATCTCCAAGCACTCCCCCCTCCCTCCTCCCTCCCCTCCCCAGCCCTCCTCCTCCCAATAAAAGCGTTCAACAACAAACTAACCACCTGGATGGGGGCAGGCAAGGGCTTATATGGAATCCATAGGGGGGCTGCGGGGGCACTAGGGACAAGTCAGTGGGGTGAAGAGTGGGGTGGGGTGGGGTGTTGTGGGGGGGGCAATTGGGGCACGCGGCAGGGAGCCAGGGGGATGCGGGGGGCACTTCGGAAAAAAAAAAAACATCGGCAAGGTGTGGGCGGGGGGAACTGAGGCAGATTTAGCAGTATTAATTGGGGGAGAAGGTGACCCCCACGAACCGTTCGGCGAAGCACCGAATGCTGCCAGACGGGGAAGCCCGAGAGACCCCAAGGTGTTCTCGCAGACGAATCTCCCAGTCTCCAAATGGAGAAGGACGCAGCTTGTGATAATCGTGCTCCCCAGCCAACGGTTAGGGATGATAGGAAAAAACCTTCGCCTTGGTTCCTTCTTCCCCCCTTCGCCACCCCGAGATCCCCAGGTCACGGTGTCCTGCCTGTGCGCGGTGCTCGCGGACAAGTACATGAAGGACTACAAGAGCTTGCCCTTCTACGCGCCCGCGCCCAGGGGCACCGCGGAGATCCTATCATCGACAATCCCCGCCCCCCTCACCAGAGGGGCGAGACGTCAGGTTGATGATGATGATGATGATGATGATGATGATGATGATGATGATGATGATGATGGCGATGATGACGATGATGATGATGATGATGATGATAATGATGATGATGATGATGATGCTGGTGCTGATCCTGATGCTGATGCTGATGCTGATGCTGACGCTGTTGATGATGATGCTGATGGTGATGCTGATGCTGATGCTGATGCTGATGGTTATGATGATGCTGTTGATGATGGTGATACCCGATATGGTGATATGGTGACATGATGATGATGATGATGATGAGGATGATGGTGTTGATGCTGTCGTTAATGCTGCTGATGATGTTGATGGTATTGACGCTCATACTCATGCTGATGCTGATGCTGATAATGCGGATGATGATGATGAAAATAATGTTGCTGATGTTGATGATGACGTATTGATGTTGCGGATGGTGTTGAGGATGATGGTGACGGATGTATTGATGATGTTGATGATGGTGATGATGGTGATAACGATGATGACGATGAAGATGACGATGACGATGACGACGGTGATGCTACCGATGCTGATGACGGTGACGATGCCGATCAATTTGTGGTTGACGATGGTGATGGTGATGATGTTGTTGTTGCTGGTGACTATGAGGATTATGCTGGTGATGCTGATGTTGCTGCTCATGATGCTGCTGGTGATGATGATGACGACGATGATGATGATGCTAATGGCGAGGATGATGATGCCGATGATGATGATGACGAAGCCGATGACGATGATGATGACCAAGACGATGATGATTATGACGATGATGCTTAAGGCGATGATGGTGCTGATGCTGATGATCATAATGACGACGATGATAATGATGATGCTGCTGCTGATGATGATGATGATGATGATGGCCACGACGACGATGATGATGCTGCTGATGATGATAATGATGATGATGACGGTGATGGTGGTGATCATGACATGATGATGTTGCTGATGTTGATGCTGCTGTTGCTGATAATGCTGATGAGTCCCATCATTTCCAGGATGTTCCCGTCTTCCAGCTGTCCCGCATGGGCACCAGAAACGAGAGCAGCTGGATACTCCAGGACACATGGAACGGACCCTGAGCCAATCGCATCATGACATTCTCGTCATGTTTCGACCCACGTCAGACTATCAAAATTGTGCTCGATGAATGATCTTGTAGTTTCGGGAGGTTCTGTTTGGGCGACGGAGTGCGTTCCGTCAGCTGCGCCTCGTCGAGACGCGTCCAGGGTGCCTGGATCGTCCCACAGGGCCGCCCGAGGCCCGAGCTATGGACCGAAGACCGACCCGCCTGGGGTCGGCACGCAAGCACAGGCCGCAGCTAGGGGACGAAGACAACCAGGATCTCTCCTGCCCGTTCTTGAACAGGACTCGCAGTCGGTGTCGCCGCGGACGTTGTCCACTTGAGCGGTGTCACCTGTCCACGAGCGGCCCCTGTCCGTGTTGGGCAACCTGCGCTGGTGGGCATCGTCTTTTTTTTGTTCGTCCCATTTCGGGCGCGTCATACATAGGGCATGCGCTGAACATACGGGGGGGCTGGTAAGAATTTCGCGGTACTTCCGCCGAGTTGGGGATGCTGAGGTCGGCGTTTTGACGGGGATGTGCCGAATCCAACCTGACCCGGCCCCCAGAGGGAACCGAAACCATCCTCCGAACGTTGCTAAGGTCGAGTATGTATTCCGGCGCGAATGTAGTTGTGGGACCTTGGATACCTTTCAAGCGATTTGTTGTTTGATGGTTGTTGTGGTGGGGTGTGGGGTGAGGGGGGGGGCAAGCTCCAATCAATTTTAAGCGCCGTCCTACGTGGTGATTCTACATGCTTCTTTCGAACGGTCCGTAGGCGCCAGCAGCAGCATTAGCAGCAGGGTGGAGAAGAACAGGGGCAGGACAAGAAAGAGAGGAGGGAGAGGAGGGCCGCGAAGGCACGGGGAATGAGGGATGAGAGGGCCACGACGGCGCCGCAAGCAGAAATAAATCGCTTAGGTGCAGTTGACGCAGATGAAGGTGGCGTGGACTCTCGTCATCCTCATTATTTCTTTCTGTGACGGAAAGACTTGGCAGGACTTGGCCCTGCCCAGAGAGCAGAGAGTCGGTTTTGCCCATGTTGTTGTTGTTGTTGTTGTTGTTGTTGAACATTCTTACTTCTAAAGAATAATTATTGTTGGGACCGCTGGTGCACGGCCCCCTCGCCGCGCCTAGGCCGCAGCCACATTTTCATCATTTTCGTGAGGAAGTCTCAGGCAAAACGATGTGATCCAGATCCGGTTGTTTTGTTACGGGCGGTTTTCCCTTGCAAAAAATAAGGCAAAGTGGACATTTCTTGTTCTAACATAACCAAACTTCAAGAATCCCTTGCAAAAATAAGGTAAAGTGGACATTCGCGCGCGCAAGACGAAATCCTTCCAAAACCTTAGTTTTCGTAGCGATTTTAACATAAAAACATCAAAAAACCAATGGTTTAAAAAAAAAATGTCAAAATTTCATCCCGCGCGCTCTTGCGGATTCGTAGGAAACCCAACACTTTTTAAACATTTCTGTCAAACGGGCTTTTGCGAGCAACTTTTTCGAACTTCTGCAACAACGGTTGCGCACCTGCCAGGGCCATCATCCCTGTCAAATAATACCATGCGGGACACATTCGTTTTTTCTTCGCGCGCGCACGCCGTCGTCGTCGGCCGCGGGGCCCTGAATAGTAGCCACGGTCGTCCGCATGCCACGAAGTGAAGTGTCCGAACGTCATAGGGCGGGAAGCTGGGTGTGGGTGGTGGCGAAGAGTCGTTTGGAAATTTGGTAGAGCTTGAACCGGCCCCCCCACAAAGTGGGGGTATTGCCCGCCTCCTATGAAAACCCTGGCACTGGTGAGAACGGAGTGTCCCCACGTGCTAGTAATTGTTGTTGCTGTTGTTGTTGTTGTTGTTGTTGTTGTTGTTGCTTCTCCTCCGTTCTCCATTTCTGCCTCGCTATTTCTATCCGTCTCTCTCGATTGCTGTATTCATACCCATATGCACCCCGCAATTGCGGATAAGAGTGAGGGAGCGCCCGGGCTGCACGCTTGAGCTGCCCGCCGGCGCAGAATTAACACTGGCAGTCGCGCAGCCTACAGAACTCTCCAGCGCCCTTCTCGTCGACCTCCTCCTCCTCCCGGTCCTCTTCCCCCTCCTGCTCCTCTCCCCGAGGGGGCCTCTCCCGTTGGGGGAGGGGTCGGGACCCCAGAGTCCTCCTGGCGTAGGCGGGGAGCGCCGGGCCCGAGGGGCGAAAAGCCCCCGCTCCCTTGGGACGGCCCCCATAAGCGGGGTCCCCTTCCCATAGGGGGCCGCCAGGTCCCGGTGCAAGGATCCCCCCCTTTGCGTTCGGCGCCTTGGGGTGGGACTGGCTGTCCGTCTTCCTTGTCGTGTCGTCGTCGTCGTCGTCGTCGTCGTCGTCGTCGTCGTCGGTGGTCGTTCGTTGTCGTCCTTCGTGTCTCGCTTCGTCGTCGTGTCCGTCGCCCCTTCCCTCTTTGGGAGTTGCGGCACGGCCCTGGATTAAGGTCCGGGGTGGACGTTGTTTGCGCTCTTGGGCCGGAGAGCGGCCCTTCCCCCCTCCCCGCCCCTGCTGCCGCCGCTGTCGCCGTTGCAGCCGTCAGCCAGGGCTTTTAGTGTTCTGCCACATCGGCCAAGAGGTGCAGCCTGGGCGCGGGGAGAACCCAGTGGCACCTCCTGGTCTGAGGCGAACCGCCGTTGACGATCACGGAGGCAGGGCCCGCGGCTTCCCGCCTGTAACTTCTTGGTTGCAGTGCTCTGTGCCGCCGGCATACTGTTGCCGTGCTTGTGGGGGTGCGGGCGCTGGGCAGCGCTCCGTGCATGTCCCTTGGGCACCGATCCCGAACCCCCATGCGCCAGTTTGGCGCGGGGTGTAGGCGGCCCTGTTTTTGTTATGTTCGATGTCCACCCGAAGGCACAGCGGTTCTGGCGTTAGTGGGAGTTAGTCAGGGAAAAGAAGCCGGAGGTCAGATCCGTGAGCCCCTTTTTTGCACGTGTGCCCTTGGTGTTGGCCGTTGGCCACGTTGACCGTTGGCCAGGGCACGTTTTGGCCCGCGCTTCGTTGAGCGCCACGGTTTTGTTTTGCCGTCTGGGCCTGCAACACCCTCCTGCTCCTCGCCGCCCTCGTCCTGCTCTTCCTCTTCCTCCTCATCATCACCGTCATCATCATCATCATCATCATCATCATCATCAGCATCCGCATCATCGTATATATCCTCCTCATCCCCCTTTATCATCGTTATTCTCATTATCAACGTGGTCATAAGTATCACCATTCTCATTATCGTTCTTGTTAGCATTGTAATTGTCCTCCTCCTCCTCCTCCTCCCATCCTTCTCCTCGCCCTCCTCCTCCACCTCCTACTCCTCCATTTCGCCTTGGGAAAATGTACATGAGTCCAAGCATTGGCGTGACAATGAAGAGCAGGCCGCAAAACCATTGTGCACTGCGTCAGTGGTAATGCTAACTGCTGCTAGCTGATGCTGCTGCTGCTGTTGCTGCTGCTGCTGTTGCTGCTGCCAGTTGATGCCGCTGCTGCTGTTGCTGCTACTGTTGCTGCTACGCGCGTGCGCTTTGCACAAGCTGCATGCGCGTGCTGCGGGCCGCTGGGCCCACCGAGCCTTGTCGAATTTGACCCTCTGGTGGCGACGGCGTCGGCCCTAATTCGGGCGCATTCGGCTGTACTGTATCTCTCCCTCCCCCCTCCCTTCTGTCTACCCCATCCCTCTAAGATCGCAAACGTGATGCTCCTCGCCTGGAACACCAACAGGAAAGGAAGCACACTGGGGACAGAGGGCCAAGCAAACTGATCCTCGTCCTCACACTCGCTCCAATGCTGCTGCGGGCCACAGGCGGGCAGGCCCACGCCTGCAAGCGCCCCAGCATTCAACAGAGGAGAAACACCCAGACCAGACAATTGGCGTTTACTAAACGGCCTTGTGCGTTTACTAAACAGCCCTGCCCTGTTTGATTCCTTCTTTGGGTGTGTTTACTAAACGGCTTCGCGTGTCGGGGTGGTTATTGTCGGGGTGGATTTTCTGCCCCCTAAGCATGCAAGAAAGGATGGGGAGGGAGGAAGCCCTCCTACACCTTCGTTCCCTTGAGCGCTCAGAGGGAGGGACGGGATGAGGATAAGGACACACAAATTCAACCAGCGGCTCGAAGCCGCTGAGAATAAGGAGAGAAGAGACAAGACAAAAAAGAAAAGCACCCGTGACAGTGTCACCTTCAGATCCGTGGCTGGGGTGGAAGGGAGAAGGGAGGGGAGCCTACGTTCAGTCCGTGCTCGAGCGTCACCCTCAGCAGCGCAGAGAGACAAGAGCGGGAAGCGGGGATAGGTGGGAGCCTGTGGGCTTCCCTTAGTCTCCTCCACCTGGAGATCCCGATGACAGTCCTAACCCCCAACCTCCGTCCTCCGGTCCACCGGTGGTCCAAGATCACTCCGGGAGGCCTCGGAGCCGCTCTCACCCCACGCGGCAGCGCCGTCGCGCCAGGGAGGCGGCAGGGGACCGCCCAGCAGCAGCCAGCCAGGTCGCGGAGCGCCGCCCTCGCCCGCCTGCAGGCCGTGGTGCCGGGCGCCACGCCGCGATTCGGACTGTCCCCCTCGGGAGGCGCACCGTGTGGGGCCAGGACCCCCCCCCTTCGGGATGGCGAGGCGTCGCGAGGAGCCTCGCGGTGGGGCAGTTCGGCACCTCCAGCGCGAGCTCCAGGGCCGCCATCGTACGAGCGAGGACGGGCCGAGAGGGCGAAGCCAATGGCTGCTGACTCCCACGCACCGTCACATTCTCCCCCCCCGTTAGCCCCAAATGTGCACTCGGCAATGCTCCTAGGTGGCAATTCCTACCTTAATGGAGGCACGCGTGCACAAGAAGGGGGAGAGGGAGGAAGTGACAAGGATGACAAACTTGTGATCAGGGCTCAGATAAGGCTACTGTATAAGGCGATTCGATACCGTGATGCAACACAAGTCTATTATATGTCCACGCTCTGAGTCCTGGTCTGAGATTGACGAGCCCGAGCTGCACCTCACCTTGTGCCTGCGCTCGGCATCGTTGCCGTCGATCTGTTTTGCTGCAATATTAATGACGGTGTCCCTCTGCCGTCGGAGGCGATAAGAAGACCCTCCTCGTCCTCCTCCTACTCCACTTCCTCTTCGGCTTCGTCCTCCTCCTTCTCCTCCTCCTCGTCCTCATCATCTACCTCCTCCTCCTCCTCGCCCTCCTCTTCCTCGTCCTCCGCATTATTCTCCCCCATCCTCCTCCTCCTCCTCCTGCCCCTCCTCTTCTCCTCCACCAATTCTTCCTCCTTGCCCCCTTCTCCTCACCTGATTCTGCCTCCCTCAATCTCCCCTCGTTCTCTTCTTCCCGCGTTTACTGATCCTCCCTCCCCTCTTTCCAAAGATAACGGCCAACAACTCCTTGGTTCCACTGCATGACCGCACACTTCCCTGATCAAGGAAACACTCCTGAGCATCGTTGCTGGATGGGCTGGGTGGGGATGCGCAGAGCTTGATGAATCTCCTGGGCGTCGTTGCTGGATGGGCTGGGTGGGGATGCGCAGAGCTTGATGAATCTCCTGGGCGTCGTTGCTGGATGGGCTGGGTGGGGATGCGCAGAGCTAGATGAATCTGGTGGAGGTTGATCTCGAATTCCTCATGGAAGCAGAGCCACGGGACCACGAAATTTCACACGTGGCCAAGGCCCCGTGTGCAGGATCCGCTGCCGTGCCTGTACGGCAATGGGGTGTTAGAATGCTTTGGAGGCTCCGATTCAGAAGCCTGGCGAAGGCTGGCAAATCTGTGGCTGCTGAAACGGAGCTCCGGGATTTGTTTCTCTTCCGGGAAGCAGCCCGTTTATTATTTAGCGCGCTGAGGTTTATTCCGGGAATTTGTTTTTGTCCTTCCGGGCGGACCGTATTAGCAGCCACGGATTTGCCAGCCCTCGCCCAGCTTCCAACCGATAGCGTTTTTGGGTGCCCCCCCCCCCCCCCCGGGAAGGTCCTTGGGCGCCCCAGAGCCGCTTCCCCGTGGGTACCTTGAGGCAC